TAGATAGATAGATAGATAGATAGATAGATAGATAGAAATCACAGTAATAATGTCAAACAAATAGCTACAATTATTCACCTAAAAACGCCATAGTAGTCATTTATGACACCATAGTGGTTATTTATTCATGATTGACTACATACAAATGGTAGGTTGTTAGTTTTTCACTGCTTTTGCCTGTTATGGTAAATAATGAAAGGAAAGTCCATAAGGGATTTGCATGGCCAATGAGATGGCTCAGGAGTTAAATCCCTTGTCATTTACACTGAAGAACTGAGCTCATGCTCAGGACCCATATAATAGTAGGAATACCGTGCAGCCTCACAATAATATATTCCAAAGTCATGTAAAATGTATCATTAACTGTTTTAATGAAAAACACTTAATAATAATGAATATTTATGAAAAAGTTATTAAAGTATCTTCATTATTCCTTTGATTATGGGTATGTTTATGTGAGGTTGGGAGTTACAAGAGCCAGTTATAAGAGCCAGTGTTGGTGAGAGACATCCAATGCCTCTGTAGTTGCTTTCACAAATTTGTGAGACTCCTGAATTTGTTTTCTACCTTTTTATTATTTGAATTAGAAACAAGACTGTTTTACATGTCAATCCCAGTTCCCTCTCCCTCCCCTCCTCCCCCACAACCCCCCAACTAACACCCTACCTATCACATGTTGGTTCTGCTCCTCATGGGGGGTGAGGCCTTCCATTGGGAGTCATCAGGAGACTCCTGAATTTATAATGAGACCTGAATTCAAGTATCTGTGAGAGCAGTACATTTTCTGACATTTGAACAAGATTCCCAGAATATTAAAAATTTTACTAAATAAAAAAGTGCATGAAAACAACATTCTAGGTACCCTTAAAATATTGGAAGCCCACTATTACAATGTGCAGTTATCCAATGATTCAGAGCAAATGCAATATGGTTTCCTACACTTACTATCATGTTTATTGCCCATTATAAACAGGGTAGTATTAACCAACACAACACTCTGAGTTAACACTCCTTCTTAAGTGCTTTTGTGGTGTCATTCTCATGTTGTTTATCAGTAACTTGAGGGAAAACGCTTGTAGATTCAAGATGCCTTTATTCAGATAAATACCAGCGAAGCAAGCCAGAGTGTGCCCTGGGGCAGCAAGGCAGGGAGGCCAGAGACAAGGGGAAGCTAAAGGGGAAGAGAGTGTTCCATGTGCTCCTGGTCACTTAAGAGCCCA